AAGGAAATATTTTTTCACGCCATTGATAGATTTTTTAAGCCACGAATATATATTTTTTTGAGTTAAGGATATGATTTTTAAGTTGTTAATAAATGAATGAATATAATATTTTTTATTGCATTTTTCTAATTTTGAACTGTAACGTGTTGTTTTATTATTTTCAAACTGAAAAATATGCAATTTGGGTAAAGGGACCAGGGGTGGGCGTCTTGCCCCAAGCCCATGGTCCCATTGCCCCAGGGGTGGGGCAATGGGCCCATTTTGACACTTTTTACAAAATAGGGTTTCATTAAAAATTGAATAACTCTATAGGCGTGTAATTCACATCATACATTCCTCATTAGTTGTAACTTTAAACAAAACAAAGAACAACCTCGTATCAATTAAAACTTCATCAAAAATTCGATTTAAAAAAGAGGGAGCCCACTGCCCCATGTTACCCTATTCATGAATCGATAGGAATGAACTTGCTATTCATAAGTTTCGTTGCGGCTTAATCATTTAATTCTTGTTCATATTATATTAAGTTAAATAATTAATGATTACAGGCGGGAGAAACCGGCCTAGCAACTGACCCTGTCGTTGGCATAACTCCCAGCACGGCAGCTCCCGTCAGCTTCAAGACTCACACCATAACGAGTGCGTGATGCGTTAACTCAATGTCTTAGTGATGCATTTTTTACGACTGCAAAATACAAGCACAGGCAGCACTTGCATGCGTTCAAAGGTGAAACAATACCTTTCGTTAAAGGGTACAGGGTGCAAACCACCATTAGAGCATTTCAGGGTACTCACAAACCTCCTATTTAAGAGGTTTGGAGAGGCCAGGGTACCACACCAGCAACTGTGCAAAGATAAGGTGATGCCCCCCTTTTTTGCCCCCCTTTGTTATTACATTTCTCCTTCCTCCAACCGTCCACACTCACGCAAAATTATATGCACACTAAATTGTCGCAACAACCTCATCCATCTTATTCCTCCTCCTTTCATTTATCTTGATATTTTTCTTGACCTCTCTCACTGACATTCACCATGTACACTCATGTTGAAATATAGTTGCACCCCTATACTCTTCATTTCTTGTACTATGCATCTTCTCTGTGTCGCCTCCCGATACAACCAACTGAGACTTCCATGTCTGCGACATTGTGACAGTCATGCATTTGTTTATTCGTGTTAACAGCTCATACGCCCAAGCGCGTTGCCATTTACTCCGATAATTTATAAGTTACTTGCACGCCTTTCCCCGATCTGAATAAATAATGACCCAAAATATAAAATTTCCTGACGAAAATGTTCGATATTTTTCGGTGGTAAATAGAACTCATCACTGAGTGATGAGTTCTAGTTCTCTGAGTGACGAGTTCTTACAATCAATGATTTCTGTGTTCCAGTTGCCGCTGGCAACGTTCGCTACATTCGACTGAAGAAAGAACATGACGTACAAAGCATGAGCTTCTGCAAAGTGCAAGCTTTCCTGTAATCCAGAGCTGCAACTTCAATTCATTGAGATCCATCACTTCACTACACAAAATTGTAACCCGCTATTAGCCACTATGAGGCACTTAGTAAAAGTTTTATTTTGTGAATCAGTGGTCGAATGATTTTCGAAAAGAAAATCCCAGTGCTCCGTAGGAATACGAATTAGCATATGTATAGAAGCAGCTGGCTCAGAATTTTTCGAATTTTTCCAGTTTTTTCTTTGCACTGCGTATATTTTTCATTAGATGCTCACCAGCCGTGCTGCACTATTCAGCATGGTAGTTCGATGTATTTCACGGTTTTAAAACAACGATGAAATTAAATTAATTTGGTAAAAATTTTATGATGATCAACTGTCTTTCTATCTCCACCTCACCACTATTTTAAATAAAAAAGGTTCCAATTATTCATTTAATCTATTGTCTTCTGCATAGTTCACAAGCCATCGGCTATTATGATTTATGACGCATGTGTATAGTCGCGACAGTTTGTTTCGATAATGTAATATAAACTAGTACGTTCCTGCTAATAAACGTGTTAATTACCTATTAATTACTATTAATTAGCACACGGTGGGTATTCCATTTCAACTTTGCAAGTTTTTTATTATCAAAAGCCTCGTTCTACTACGTAGTTTAAAATCATATTATTTTTCAACTACTGAATGAAACGAATTAATTTTAGAACTATTAAATCCCTTTGTCATTAGGCTACTTATTTACATTAAGACGGTAGCTGCAAAAATATGCATTTTTACCTGCACAATCCTTAATTGCAATCATATTTAGAATAAAATTCTAATTATTTAATCTCGCCTAATAATTTTGAATAGGTTTGAAGCAATGACATAAAAGTAACTATATCAAATAACCTACAGATGTTCATTCGTCCAAAGAACGTTCTTTTCCAATCAATGATTTCTAAAATCTCATTATCGTTTACAACAAAAAAAAATTATCACCATACTAAATTATTTCGAAACTGTCGTCGTTTTAATCAGATCGATGTAATTATAAAAATCCAGTCATTAATTCAAGCGATGAAAAAAGAATGCAGTGCTTATGGACCTCCAGGTGTCGTCGCGTCTAAACAAACCGCCATCGTCGTGCAGGGAGAGTCGACCAAGCCGCTGCATCAGGACAGCTGTGAACTTATTTGCTAACATCTTTGTACTCATTACAGTAAAACACGGTTGTTTATTGGAAGAAATCCAATTTAATAGTTGTTGAATTTGACTGAATGTAGTCATAACGGAGGCTTGAGATCGTTGCGCTGAACTGCCACTGCAGGACGAGTTGGTTAAGCCGCCGCCGCCGCCGCCGCCGCGTCATGCCAGCGCCGCGCGACCGTCGGGCCTGGGGAGCTGTACGGGCAGCAGGGGCGCTATAGATATAGACAGATGCACTATACAGATGCGCTATACGAGCGGCTTGGCAAGAGCCTTCACATGCACGAACTCCTGGAGTCAGAGTCTTCGTAAGTATTTTTAAAGAGAAGTTATGTACAGAGTTTTATTGTATCTACGGTTACCTCTGCAAGAAGAATTAAAATAGGATCAATGTGAATCAGCAAACAAACGCTCAGAAAAAGAGGCTTCGGAAGGTTTAGACAATTGAAGAAATGTCGAAATACGTTGTAGCAAACGATTTTTTGGGGAAATATCATGCTGATAATTATTCACTTGTGAATGTCGTCACAAGTCAACCATACCCGGTTGCTTTCATCAATGTCAATTTCGTGTACGGCGGAAAATTACTAACTGTCATTTTGTATTCAATTACTCATTCCTCATTCAAATAATTTCTTCCTGGTTAGAAGATAGTTCCTCCATCCCGATGTTGATAAACAAATCCCTGTATTTAGCCTTCCTTGTTTTACCCGGTAGAGACTCAGCACCTTGATGACATCTACATATATAAGATTGTGTAAACCCTGAAGACGTTAGTATGAACCCCAGACGAACGCGTTAACGTTCTGCTCATATTGCTCGCTAAACCTATAAACTGCACGCCGATATATTCTCACTAAGTATAGGTATCTAATCTGTACTTAACTCGTGCCTCATTTATCATCATTTGTTCACGGTACCCGAACCTAACTCAGGTAGTTAATAATAAATCATATACGCCTAAAACGTGCATAGAAAAGCACGGCGTACACTAATAACGATATTTGACCGTGAGTGAACAAAATTGCGTTAACAATGTAATAAAAAAATCGAATTCACTAGTCGCAGTTTTATTCATTTTAAACTAATCTCAAGCGCAAACTTTTAAAGCTAGTTCATAACTACAGTTAAATTGCTCAAGTCGAATATTCTTTATTCTTCATGGACAGAAATGGTTTTTGATTTATTGGTCCCAACTGCATCGTTTTTTTTTAAATTGATATGAGTGCGGTGAAAACTTTTATACCACAACGGCAGCCTCACTTCTTACTTGAAGTTTGACACTCGTGATGTCGAGTAATCACACGAGGAAGCGTCGTTCGATGAAGTTAGAAAATAATTTAACTTAAGAATTCTGGACAAGGAGCATTCCGCCTTGAAACGCTCGAGGTCGGCGGGCATGACCATTGACCAGTTCGCCTCAGTAAGGCGTCCGAACAAATGTCTGGATCTTGTGACGGTGCCTCCTGGAGTGATCAACGGTCCAGTTCAGAGCCTGTCTCTTATACACATCTAGATGTGTATAAGAGACAGCTTTACAGCACCTGTCAGCACCTTGCAGCGCCTGTCAGCACCTTGCAGTGCCTGTCAGCACCTTGCAGACCCTGCAGCGCCTGTCAGCACCTTGCAGTGCCTGTCAGCACCTTGCAGACCCTGCAGCGCCTGTCGGCACCTTGCAGACCCTGCAGCGCCTGTCAGCACTTTACAGCGCCTGTCGGCACTTTACAGCGCCTGTCAGCACCTTGCAGCGCCTGTCAGCACTTTGCAGTGCCTGTCAGCACCTTGCAGTGCCTGTCAGCACTTTGCAGCGCCTGTCAGCACTTTGCAGTGCCTGTCAGCTTCTTGCAGTGCCTGTCAGCACCTTGCAGCGCATGTCAGCACTTTGCAGTGCCTGTCAGCACTTTGCAGTGCCTGTCAGCACATTGCAGCGCCTATCGGCACATTGCAGCGCCTGTCAGCACTTTGCAATGCCTGTCAGCTTCTTGCAGCGCCTGTCAGCACCTTGCAGTGCCTGTCAGCACTTTGCAGTGCCTGTCAGCTTCTTGCAGTGCCTGTCAGCACCTTGCAGTGCCTGTCAGCACATTGCAGTGCCTGTCAGCACTTTGCAGTGCCTGTCAGCACATTGCAGCGCCTATCGGCACATTGCAGCGCCTGTCAGCACTTTGCAGCGCCTGTCAGCTTCTTGCAGCGCCTGTCAGCACTTTGCAGCGCCTGTCAGCACCTTGCAGCTGTCTCTTATACACATCTAGATGTGTATAAGAGACAGGTATCGCTGTTTTCTTCTCATGTATCGCTGTTTTCTTCTCATGTATCGCTGTTTTCTTCTCATGTATCGCTGTTTTCGCACCAGGCGGGCATGCTTCGCAAAGAATGCATGGAGTGGGAAACTGATGTAGGAGGGGCCTCTGCGGACGACTCCTGCCACTGTTGTTACTATGACCGCGTGCCGTTCCCCACCACAACGACCGCCCCATAAGCGGTTCCCAAGTGCCTCCAGCCGTGCCAGCCTCCCCCGCTGAAGCACTCATATAAGGGCGGCTGGGGCGATTGGTGTGAGCGACTTCTGGAAAACGCGACGGCTTCCATCATTTGTTGGATATATTAAGTCGCGCTGTACCATGATAAAATATAAAGCACTGGCCATAACCTTGGCAATCTATATTTGAGAATTTATTTTAGTTTAATGTAAGCATTTGAAATTATTTACTTTTTCTTAAATTCAAAATTACAATTCCGATAATTTTGATTACTTTTGCAAGTTTGGGATGTAATAAACGAAAAATGTATTATGAGGAATATTTACTTAGAGAATTTACACTGTAGCAGAACTCATGGGTTACCGATTAGGCTGTTTTATAAAATTATAGAATTTCCTACAGTACTAAATAAACTGCAAGATAGAGTGCATACTCATTCTCCTGCTTCGGAACTGAGCATGAATGCCTGCGGTTCATTGAAAAAAATTGCAGACGGCGAACTCGACGCTACAGAATAACATATACATTGATATGAATTTTACGAGATAAATTGTCGACAGTATATTTTATCTAACGCTGATTTTTTCTAACGGGGAAAAATATTTATCTAACGTCCACGTCTAATCGAGGAAATTCATTTCTCTTATGTTGATTTCCGGTCAAGGAATTTCATTTCTTTCACGTCAATGTCCGGCTGAGGAAATTCAACTAGCGTACGTTTTTTTGGCACACTAAGACACTGAATAAGTGCAAAATTGAGACACTGTTTAAATGCACAATTGAAACACTTTTTAAGTGCACTATTGAGACACTGTTTAAGTGTACAAACAATTGAGACACTGTTTAAGTGCTGTCTCTTATACACATCTAGATGTGTATAAGAGACAGACGCAGTCCTGCGTGACCATCACGACACGTACGGTGAACGCAGTCCTGCGTGACCATCACGACATGTACGGTGAGTGCAGTCCTGCGTGACCATCACAACACGTACGGTGAAAGCAGTCGTGACTCGTGCGTGACAGTCGCGTCACTTACGACGGTCGTGCAGGCGTAGGCGCTGCGCAGCGAGCGGCGCTCACGGCTCATGCGCCGCTCTATTGATCCGGACGCTGCACTCGCCGACCTTTGTAATCCAATAAAACATATTTTTTAGATTACGATGTCCTATAAAGGGAATTTTAACTCTTCTCGTCGTGTTCTGAGTATCCTACCGTGACATCAACTCAACAATACGTATTGATATCTTGCATTGATGTCGTTTTCAACATTACTGTCCCTGTGGCGCAGTGGAAAGCGCGTTGGACTTCTAATCCAAAGGCCCCGGGTTCGACCCCCGGCAGGGATGTTGCAATTTTGTTCCTATATCAACTTAGGATAGAATACGAATTAATGATAAAAAAGCACTTAATTTAAAAAAATTAATTAATCCAACCATCGATCCAGCCGTCCTGCTAGATCAAGGAAAAACAGGAAAACATCTCTACAGCACCGCGCAATGGGTTGCTCTAAGTATCAAGATTATTATCTGTAAACTAACATTAACTAATTTAAAAATATTTAACAGTTTGAAAATTCTTCAAATCGATTTGTCTATCGATCGCACCATGACGTAGTTTCCCTCATAGCCCTATCATTTTCTAATCAAATTCACGCATAGAAAACTAAGCTTGTTAACTAAACTAATGGTAGTGATTATTTAGTGTATTCCGATCTGTTAGGCCAATAATTTGTTATTGAACCTCATATATTAGGTCAGACGAAAATTGTTTCCATTGAATTAATGTTTAGGAGAAAATATATTTGACCCAATATAAAAATTATGCGTCAATGATGGCTAGGAAAATACGTAAAGACGAGGATAGGTCTGATGATTATGATCGGAATCATGGGGTGTGTTCTGACCTTTGAGCAGACACTCAGTGCAACATAGAAACACATTTCATAAGTTTGGCTCTTCAAGAAAAATATGCATGGATGCCTAAATATGAATTTTATGAGTTTCATCTCTTTCATTTATTGACCATGACGTGTAGTCGTTGACAGATACCTATCGTGCATTTCAGTATGCAATTTGATCATCACGTATGCTGAATACTTATCATCAATCAAACACGAATCATTACATACAGTACAAGCCAAACAAATTCACGTGTTCAACAAACCGTTTAATCTTTGCCATGGCCAGACCGTACGTGCCATCTGATGAAAGGGGCGGTTTTTCTAATGGTGGTTGAGATTTTGAGTTAGAAGTTACAGCGACCGTCCCTCTTCCCTAATTAATTACTTGAAAAAGAATTACGTAGGTTGGAGTGAAGAATTTTGAGTTTCAGTTTTTTATTGATCGGTTGAAGAATGATGACTCCGAACAACACCTGTATATTATTATTGATTTATTGTACATATAGGGTGGTCGTTAGAATGAGCTTGACATGAACACAATGGAATAAAAATATCAAATTAATACAGAGAACACAATTATTAATTCAGTTATGACAGTTAAATATTTTTTTACATTATAAGAATTGAATTCTAACGGAGAATTTAGTAGCTTACCACAGCAGATGTTAACAGAACAACAATGCTCTGCAGGAAAATGACGTTAACGGCTTAACGCGTGATTGGCTGATGTTGCCCATTCGGCATTCTAAACAAAATTTACAATATTTGATGGCACGATTTAAGCATAGAAGTATTTTTGAAATTGACTTAACTTTTATTGTTCATAAAATACTCTTATGTTATTCGTGCTTGAGAATTGATGATTTACTGACTAAATATTTTTATAATTATTTAATAGTGAAATTGATGAAGTCCAACATAAGTAAGCGAGTTCAAGATAATAAAATTACATATACTGTAACTACAAAAGTTGATGAACACGAGTTTGAAGGTTGAATAAAATTATTTGCAACATTCACAAGTAAAGACAGTGCGAGATTATAATCGGTTTGCTACACATCCATGCCAACGCTATGCCAAGATGGTTCCTTCTGTGACTCCAGCAATGAGCTTTACATAAATAAAACATTTGTATTCTTTTCGACCAGTCAATGTTTGCGTGGTACATCTCATGAAGTGACCATTCCGCTAAGTACTACGCAGTGTCGTGTTTTTCGTTAATGTTTTCATCTGTCAGATGTTTGATAAACTACGGACTCTGAGGACTGTGTATCGGGGACGTTGTATCGGGGACGTTGTATCGGGGACGGTGTATCGGGGACGGTGTATCGGGGACGTTGTATCGGGGACTGTGTATCGGGGACGGTGTATCGGGGACGGTGTATCGGGGACGGTGTATCGGGGACGGTGTATCGGGGACGGTNAGTGATCAGCGGTCCAGTACAGCGCCTTCTTTTAGGATCAACGGTCCAGTTCAGCGCATCCTGGAGTGATCAGCGGTCCAGTACAGCGCCTTCTTCAGTAATCAGCGGTTCAGTTCAGCGCATCCTGGAGTGATCAGAAGTCCAGTTCAGCCCTGAAAACTTAAAGAAAAATTTCTCCGGCTTTCAGCAGGGAAAATAGAATTTGTTTGTTGTATGTTAAGGATGAAAATGATGTTCCAAATAATCAATTCTCAAGTCTTGGCTTCCGTACTTTTTTATTTCGTCATGCACAATATCAACCTTACCCACCGGAACTTTCCAGAAGGTCAGCTAATTTTAATGATTTGCTTACTGACGGCAAATCTCGTTACCAGGCCATTGGATACGAATATCTTTGACGATGGTTAATGCATCTGTAGACAAAAGCTACTTATTGTTTATTGTATAATAAAAATAGGATTATTTTACCCAAACAAAATTCAATTTCAAAAACTTGCTGAGGGATCTTAATCTTATTCAGCAGCAAAATATAGAATCCACATTTAAGAAAGACACGCTGCACACACTAGATAATATTTAAAAATTCTAGTTATTAAAATAATATGCGTTTAAAAATTACTTTTTAAAGACAAAACTTCTGAAGAATCCAGTTGTAGCGGCCCGACTTTCTGACTGTAGGTCTCGCTCTTCTTTTCTTTCCGACGCCTTACTCGGAGCTGAAATTGGACATGAGCCGGGTTCGGCTCACTCTTGTTGAAGCCGCCTACCACAGCGGGCGTGACTGCTTGCGGTCGCCGTGTGGCGGCCTGTAGATCTGGCTCTTTATTCTACTACCGGCTCGGCTGCTCATCGTTGATCCCTGGGTTGGTTACTTACCCGTATCCACCTACGGTCATGTGCGGGTGTGGCTACCTGGAGGCTACTCAAGAAGACCAGCCTCAACGGTGACCCCTTTGCCGACCCCTTTTTTCGCCAGGATGTTGGCTTCAAGAGTCATTATAACTTTCTGATTTGTGGCCGGAACGCCTTATCCATGGCATCCAGTTCCGTTGCGTTCGCTGCCGACGGTACCCGTTCTCGTAACGAAATGTTCGAGCGGGAACAGGAGACTTGTCGCAGTTCGATAGCCGATGTGTGAAAACCATGGAACGTGCCCAACTGGGTCAACCACCGACGCTACCATCCATCGTCTACGATGTGATTTCTGTGTAAGTGTTGAATGTACTTGTATTGTAAACTAGCCGGATGTATATGTGAATAATGTGAACTGCGAATATTCTTCATTCTCTTTGAACTATACCGTTATTGTCTTTGCCTGTAAAAAAACAGGTCCCGCAGCTAGACGGTTGGGCAAGACGTTTACTCTAGATTCTAGAAAAACGCGGTTTGCCTAATTGTGTGGAGTTTCCGAAGAATTAGCCCTTCAACCCACCAGAGGTGCCGTCGTTCACTGATGAATTACTTAGTTTGTACTGAAATTAAGCCAGGTTGTCTGAGATAGTTCGGGATCTATGACTTATCTTGTGTTATGAATTTTCCTATCGTGTAGTAACTGTAGTTTAATTGCGACCTATACATATGACGTTGGCTTTCGCCACTGCGGCCAGCGTCTACACTTATTGTCTTGCGATTATGAACGAATGTTGCACAACCAAATGGTTTCGGATGGTGGATGTTAACTGACAACTACATGCAGACGGCTGCTTCCGTGATGGATTAGAATATGTTTTTGTACTAGCATGTCGGCGTTGCCTAGGGGTTAAAGTGAGAACTTTTCAAGTTTGATTCTAGGTTAAGGATTTGTGTACTAGTAAAAATGTATATATTGTGCAATAGGTTTTACTGAATGGGGGTCACGACTAGTGTAGTTTAAGCTGTCTGAGTATGGGTTTTGAAGCTCGCGGTTCAGAGCATTTTTCAAGCGTCTCTCAAAAAATCTTTATAACTCTGATTTTTCCAACATTTGCCGATTCTTTTCCCAATTGCATTAATAATTCTACTTTCCCGTTGGGGCAGCAAAATATGTTGCACCTCTCCCGCAACACAGTATCTTTGATGTTACACATGTACAATGATTTCTAATTTTGTTTTCAAATATT